TGTTGGTCATAATCCCCCTCCCAATTAGCCCACTAAGCACCAATGTCTCCTTTCCTAAGCCCTGAGCCCTCTCAGAGCAGTTCGGTGTCTTCTCAGGCTAGCATTGGCCCTCAGAGCCCGGTGGGACCGAGAGCTCTTCAAGATTAACGGATAACCCCATACGGGACGGGGATGAGAGCATAAGATCGCTTTAAGCATACAATCCGTCCTCTCTAGACCCAGGGCCGGTGTATTTGATACACCCGGTGTATTTGATCACGCTTCCCTGCCTGAGGGTCCGGCGCGAAGGTCCACACCACACCTCCAAACCGGGTGGCGGAGGGCAAATCCCTCCGATGTGACTTAGTCCAATGCAATATACGCAGCATACTGGGGCAGTTACACTTAGTGACGGACAGAACGGGACGGTCAGGACACGTTTTTAACTTTCGAACTACTCTGACTCGGGCAACATTTGAAACATTCGGGTACCCATGACAATGGGTCGGAGCCGACCCATTGATCTGACACGGTGTGACGTCATGTCCATCACCGGAACCCGCCTGTCCCTCTGATCTGGTCACGTGACCTGATTACACCAGTGGAGTGACACGGGTGACACGGCTCGCGCCGGCTGACGAGTGAAAGGTCACACAATAAGGCGCGGCTCGGTGGTGCAGGACGACTGACGGTCCGTGGCGCACCACTGCCGCCGCTACCAGTCGTATACCCACTGACGGCCACACCGTGATGTAACTGAACGGCCATTGAACGATCGGTGCGGGCGGGAGTCACTCCATCCTTTTACAAACTACAATCATGACAGAAGAAAATCGTTGGGAAAAATATAGCGATCGATAATGGGATAACCAACAAGGCGGGTGAATTGCCTACTTCGAGCTTATTTCCCACATGTGAGCTATTCAACGCGTCTCGGCACGCCTATGCTTAGGCTGCCGCGTAGGTCTCACTAGGATGTAGGGTCATTAGCTATGGAGTTATTCTATAAGAAGAGGCGAAAAAGCCTCTAATCCAGCGGGCCAATAGAAGTCAGCTGAAGGCTATCGAGCGCTTCCTGAGACTGGACCACGGAGGATGGTGATGTGGTATTACTATAGCCTTGTTTATACCAATCTTGTTAATGCTCATCTGTGAGCTTGCGGTTGTGGTCCGAATGTGTTAACTCGTGCCGGGCCGGGGAGAGGGGTGTTAGGACACCCCTATTCGGTTTTCCATTAATATCTTCCAATCAATCAGTTTATGGTTGCACGTGTTGTGGAAACTTCATACCTGCAGCCTGCAGGTTGCTCCAGGTCAGGTCACCAGGTAACGTCAAGTGACCAAACGTCAGAAAAAGTTCTAATTGACAAAACGGCCGCTTCACCGACAGAATGGTCACTTTGAAACTCCATTGATTGGCGAAAGCAACAGCATATTTGTATCTCGGAATTTGGATATCAAAGACCCAAGGAAAGATTAAATTTTCAAATGCAGCCTCTTCATTATGAGTCAATGGGAGCAAATTGAATCGCGCTTATTTTAGACGAAAGTGAGAAACCCGCGCTAAACAATCTCAAACATCGTTTGCCGAGTAGACATGGCACATTAAATCGGAAAATTGCACCCATGACCCCTATGTATGCCCTTGAGCCGAGGTCATCTCAAGTCACGAGATGTCTCAATCAGTTCTTTTTACAATAACTTTTGATAGAGACATGCTATGGAAACACCTTGCATATGTCCAGCTCCACAATACAACTCCACTAATAAGCAGCATGACGTTTACTGGTCAGGTCATGACCTTTACCTTTGAATATATTTTAAAGTGAACTTTTTAAAGTCAAAATATTGGTCATTCGACGCGCCTCGACGAAAGGAATACGATGCCCATAAAATCAATGGCGTGCAGATTTTGTGTCAAAAGTTATTTAAAAAAAAGCATGCGCAAGAACATCAATTTGGACAGATTTGTCTTATGGAGGCTGATTTGTTGAACTTAGGTCAAAGCTGAGAACTTACTCGAAAAGAAGAACTTACTCGAAAAGAGCTTGAAAAGAGCTATCAATTGCGCTGTAGCTCTATTCGGTCTCGCGTAATGTGAATTACAAGGTGACCACGGTGAAAAGCCACGTTGTTTGTGGATGTTGTTGTATGTAAGATTAATAATAAAGCCCCTTCGTCAAATAAAAGTTGAAAAGGAAAATTTGACCTTTGACCTATGATGACCTTTGAACTAGCCTAAAACAAACCGAAATACCTTCTTCGTTATTTTTTCAAAGATCTTTCGAATGCCACTTACCGAGTGTCGCTTCATGGCCCAGGACCCGAGTTAGACGGGGAGAGAGCTCAAACACCTGTCAAGCTCGGCGCGTGTTAAGATCGATTAAAAATTGTTTTGAATTTAGGCAGTATCAACAAAATAGTTTCTCAGGAATTTTGTGAGATACGTGTGTTAAACAAATATTCCCTATCTTTTAGGCCTACCTTTGGGTCTAGACCAATACGATTAGTCCATAATTTGTCAATTATTTTAGAACCATAATGACAGCCCTCTTATCTGCCTTCTCCCACGCCGGCACCAGCCATTTTGCCATCCTCGATGGCAACAAAGCATGAGCTGCCTCGTGACTGGATTGTCATACTGATTTTATATCGCTAGCTTTTTTCTGTTATACAGAACTAGAGATTGACAAAATACGAACATGTGGCCCAACACGAGAAGAAGCTAGCGATGCCCCGCGGAATTCAGATCAACCGGTGACCTACATAGAGGTAAAGTTGAACGCGCGTAGTGGGACTAATTTGAGCTAAGGGAGGCAGAGACACGTAAGACGATAAAGTCTACCGACACCTGCCATGCAATTTTGTAATCTACGTTTCCCTTTTGGTAAGGATACAGAAAGGATAAAGATAGGTAGTTGTAAAACATTGGTGTGGGACTGCGAAGGCTGCTGCGCTGCCCAACTGGCGCTGCACACATCTGCGGTCTGGTAAAGAGGACGAGCGTAGAATATCTATCAAAGCCCTACCTATCCGAATCTATGATACGCATAGGAGGCAATTACATAAACACACAAACAAACATTCATACTAAAGCGCATAAAGTCTAGAACTCACCCCAACTCCCAATCTAAGGAATACATCGGACCTACCATAGGACCCCTTATACCCGGCGGTGCTTGGGGGTCAGGAAATAAAAATGGAAAGGCGGTCGGTCAGCGGGCGAGTGGAGCTGAACAGGGCCCATATAGGGCCGGCGAGGGGCGGTCAGCTGCAGAGCAGTGACAGTAGCCCCCGGAGCGAGCACAGCGGACGACGGGGAAGGACCCGCCGACGCACAACTTGTAACAGACGGGCAGCGGAGCCTCCGGCGCATTCACCGGACAGCGAGCCAACAGGTGAGCGCAGCACAGACCGCGCAGTGGATGTCATGCGGACTGGAGGGAACGCCTCGATCTCCAAGCAGGATAAATACCTAACACATAAATGATTAACAGATACATTACATAAGTTTAAAAATGGTGAATTGAAAATCGGCTAAGAAATTTGCTCACATTTGAGTCTAATCGAAAGTTAAACTAAAAAAAACATCAACAGTAAATATCAACAAAACAAAAGCGTGACAGATTCATGGATCCCCCATATTTCAGAAATCGAGCATGATGCGTGCTGTGCTGCTAATCGGCCTGCTGGCTGTGGCTGGTCTGGGTACGGCGCAGCCCACCGCAGAACAGTCCGCTGACGAAGCCACGCAGCAGCTGCCGCGAGCCGCAAAGATGGGAGAAGCCAGGTGAGTCAGCTGCAAATTAAATAAGTTTTCAACGGCAACGGGCGGTATAAGCTTAAAAATACGTTTCCTGTATCCTGGTAATAAATTGCTTCTGACATGTAGGTAGGTATGTTAAGATAATCCTTAATACAAAAATGGCCGGAAAGAACGCAATAACATTTAATAAGTGCGAACTCAAAATAAGATAAACAAACTTCAGACACTATGAATAAAAACAATGTCTTTTGTGAAGTTCTTCCTGAGACACCATTGATGAGGAATATAACGTTGTATTTGCATGTACATTGTTAATCAAAATTTACTGAAATTTCATTCATGCATGCTTAACTGGTTTCGCCTAAGGTCTTTCCAGTCGTGTTCGTTGTTCTCCTCTCTGATCTACGCTTTCACGTCGGGATCTTTCATTTAACTGATAGGTCACGTATTTCTTCTTGACCTGTGTGGGTTGAGTTTTCCTTCGGAGGGGGGGGGCGTATGAATGCTACCTTGTATTGTTGCTTGTTTGTCTGAGTTTTTATTTTATTGTAAGCATTTTTAAACTGAGTATTTCAACGTGCGCGGCTATGTGCGCAGTGCGCACGTTAAACATTGGACTAAAAATTCTGCCATAGAACCGAACATGCGGGATCGGGGTAAAGGGCAAGGTCATCGCAACAAACTTCGCTTAGCGGGGATTCTGTCCTTATGAATCCTTCCATTCTAAAGGTTCGGACTAAACTTATTTAAAAAAAAAACATTCGCTGTACCGCCCCATATACAACAGGATCTGACTACTCACTATGCCCGAATATATTACACTGCAGAGCGGATTACTACGCGAAGAAATACGCCGACCACCCGCGAAAAAGCAGCAGCAGCATAACTGAAAAGCACGTGATTGGTCGGCCATACGTGACGACATACGAGGACATCAGCGAGGTAAAAGGGTCAGGCATATTGGGAGAAATGACATTGATAGGTATCACAAACATCATTCATAGTAGATGATAACATCATCTTGGTCATTCAAACCATTTCAAACTAACGAAAGGAAGCCGTAACAATTCACTGTTGGAATAAGTATTTGAAAGCTTTGATAGTTGTATAGCTAAGTTTAAAAAAGCCAGAATAAATCATTGGAAAAATTCAATGCTGGTTAATTTCACATCAAATTATGAGAAGAACACGCGAGAAACCAATTTGCAGTTTGTTCTTAAGTTTAAGTATCTACTTCGATAAAAGCAAGATATCACTCGAGACGACGTGCTAAAAGACCGATTTTCATTTTTTTCGAGATTACTGCACGTTATCAGTGAAGGTAGGCATCCATGTTTTTGCAGAGGATTGTCACAATTTCCGTAACAGACTTCCACCGACATTCACAGGACTATAGTCCGTATCTGGATGACGGGGAGGATATCGCAAACTCTGTGCGAGGAAACGAGACGGCCCGCTTCTTCGGTCTGTCCACCAGCTCTCAGGACCTGCAGGTAAACAGGAGGTGCACGTAACCAGGACCTGCAGGTAAGCAGGACCTGCTCGTGACTAGGACCTGCAGGTAAGCAGGAGGTGCACGTAACCAGGACCTGCAGGTAAGCAGCACCTGCTCGTAACCAGGACCTGCTGGTTACCTAAGACCTGCAGGTAGTCCAGGGTCTGCACTAAGCTCAGGATTAATGTAGCCAAGGATTTACAGCCCGACGTTGCCTTTGTTGCATAAGCGCTGAGCACGGTCCCATTTACGAACGTGGCTCTCCCGTTATTAATTGAACAAGATGACATAATCACCTCAGATCACCTGACCTGGCCTACCCGAATGCCAGCAATGCTGCAGGCAAGTCGGTTGAGTCTGCCGTCTCTCGTTAGCCTGTAGGTCACCGTACTCCCACCGACTCTTCCCCTCCTCTACCCACAGTTAAACCTAAAATCCACGGTACTACCACTAACTGGTCCCCTCTCTCACCACAGCCGGGCGTGCAGTAAAAGGTGCTGTCACTGACTCCCTCTCCCCCCCCCCCTCCACAGCTGGGCCTGCAGTTCACGGTGCCGTTCCTCTCCATCCCGCTCGGCTCTCTGGTGGGCCAGTACGCCGACTGGTCCACCATGCTCTCCGTCAACTGGCCCAGCCTGCTGGCGCTCGGCCTGACCGTGTTGCTCGCCATGGTGGCCGTGCCGTGGCTGGTGGGACAGCTGGGCGGCACCACCAGCGGACTGCCGTCCTTCCTCAACCTCAGCAACCTCGGCAAAATGGCCGGCTATGGACGAGCCGATGACGGTAAGAGGCTTAGTGGAGGAGGTGATGGAGGACATGTGATGTCAATGACGAGATTAGATTTGTTACGATGGAATGGATAGCGACAACTGTGTTAGATTATTTAACGACTGACGAGTATACAGACAAGGAAGCGACCGATGGTGGATATCACTTTTACGTAATTTCAACTTATTTTTGATCAATTCCGACAAGCAGTAATTATTGAGCAGTCAACTCTGACCCGTCATAAAAGCGACAGTGGAGTGATATCACTGGCTATTGTCCATTATGTTCCTCATTCATTATTGGGTAACAAGAGTAACACAAACTAACAATGGCCAGCAGGTCACAGTTGATAACACCTGTGTTTACACCGCGCCTCTTGTATCACTCTTTCCGGACCGGTGGACGGAGTAATTGAGTGAGTAAGCAGCGGCGGAAGCGGCGCACAAAGAGTGCGTGCTCGTCCTTTCACTTTTCTGGGGAGTCACGTTGTGACCTGCTGACACTGAGGACTGGGGAGTACCCTCGCCGTGACCGACACTCAGTTCCGCCAATACGGCCCGCCAGTCACGGCTGGCGTCCGCCTCGCGGCCCCGGCAGGGTGTCAGCATCCCTCTCTTTTTGTGGATGTTGACACCTACTAGGATGGTGCTTCACAAAGGAGGCGGTCTCGAAACCCGCAGTGTTACTACATGTGACTTTTTGCTGGGGAGTAATTTGTTGAGAAATTAGCACTTTCAGCGACTCTAAGACAATGTTATGTGGCTCGAAAGGAAAACATTTTGTGGGCAATTATACGCACAGCTCGCTCATCCTGACATCATCCTGTACTACGGATTGAAAACACCTCAAGTGAGAGCATTGCTAGTAGTTAGCACACCAACAAGGTTGAATCTAGACAAGAATAATGATTTAAAACAGCAGGTCTGAACCAATTGAAATAAAATCATGTTCCTCGCCGCATATCCGCAAAAATGTTGCAACCAACCACTGAGGTTAACACTTTTTTGTCAATTACCATCGGGCGTGTTGCAGGGAACTGCCGGCTGCCGTAACCTATAAGACGGAGGGTGTCTCGAACCGTCCCCAAATCTCTTTAACCCCATCTCCCTCGTCCAGGTGAGGAGACCACGACGGGTCTGATGGCGCGCCTGGACGATACGCTGGCCCAGTACGACATCGACTCGACGGCGTGCATGCAGCGGGGCGTGTGCACCTACGTGCGCGAGGCTGCACTCAGCGTCAAGGAGGGTCACGCCGAGTCACACGACCTCCTGCTCGAGGGTCTGGTCAGGTAGGTCATATCTGAAGCCGTGTGGGGGCAATAAGGGGGAGCCGCAGAAAGGATATTCGTATGAACATTTTCAACAATAAACTTCGAGATAGCTTCATTCACCAATCGAGTTAAATTATGCGTGAATACATCCCAAATACCTTACACAGCAATGCCGCAAGATCAGTTCCATGCATTCAAATATCACCGCCTATCGCCACTGCTCTCACCGCACTGTGTTCGTTTGCAGCAACTCGTATGTCAGCTCATGGCTGAACGGCACCTCCATCCTGGAGGCCGCTGAAGCGGGTCGATCGGGGGCCAACTGTGCCGCCACGTTCGTCAAGTGTCCGCTGACGGCCAACAGTGTCTACCTGGCGCTGGCCAAGTTCATAGGGAATACCGTATAGACCAGCGCTCAACGGGAGCAGAGCAGTCTACGAGCGAAAGGGATGTGAAGCTGGAGAAGTGGGCGCGAGTGGATAGATGGACGTTGAGGCCCGGAACAGGAGGAAAATTAATTTTTGTTTTTCGTGTGAGTTTTCATGCGAGTTTCATGCTCTCCATAAAGGCTCAATTCACAAAAGCATGAAAGTTGCCGAAGGCTTAAAAACCTGTAATGAAAAATGGTTAGGAGCAGGGCGAGTTTAGTGACAAATGCTCAACTCAGGAACTTAGTGATGATAGTCGTCAAACCACAATGAATGATTTGAAAACTGAGCCAGTTGACAGTCATCGTCTCATGACAGAATAGTGCATGCATGCGGTGTTAGCACTCGAAGTCGGACGGTCCAATGTTTTTAAGTGTAGTTGTGTGTCTTGATACGTGTTGTCTATGTGTAGAGTGTAACTGGCGTTTCATGAAAAGCTGCTGGCAAGTCGCAGCTATCGCAGCCTTTACTGTCTGCCTGTGCATGCAGCGCCTTTGTATTTGTTATTCACGTTGGAGACGTGTTGTGACGTTTTATTGTTAAGCGTGAGTGATAACAATAAACAGAGAAACATGCGATGTAGTCGTCGCAAACGGATATGCCGAGATTTAGGTAACAAATAAACCAAGATAGGTAAGTACATTGCAAAGAGGACGTCGCCTGGTGCCTCGATTTCCTAACCACACCGTTACAAAAACAATACAATTGTTTAAAACATGGGACTCCCGAGCGTTGGTAGGGCGATCGCGCGCGAGTTCTCGTAGCAACTAAGCGGCGATGAACCCTATCAGGCTATCAATCAAACCCAGCAATGTGCTTTCCCACCGGGACGGAACCCGTCATTACATATAGTCACATATTATAGTCACATATTGCGTTAAATACTATGCTGAACCAAGTGCTGAACAAATATCTGTCAGATTCAGCAGGCTTAACGTCAGCATTAAAAGAGGCGTCAGTAGTTCACTTTTTGTGGATCGCTGTAAGAAACCTCAGAGTTGGAATAATGTTATGTGGCATGGCAAATATGGAACCATGCTTTCAGAGCGCAAAGTATAAAGGACTCAACTGATCGGTGCATTATGGTAAAATATCTTATACAACCTACATATTCAGTTTTGTGATCCATTTTGATGTTGGTTCCTTATTTCGATCGGAGAGTTTCGAATGTGACGTGCTCTCAAATGCGATGCACCGTAAGTGAGCTGCCATGATTAGGTAAAACGATGGAAAGTTTCCTGCAATAAATATGAAATAGCTATCTGAAAGGTGGAGATCCACTGTGCATATCCGGTTACACTAATGCAAATCAAACATCTAAAACACCACCTTGCATGTTGCAACTTCTCTCGAATGCCTAATTTGAAACCACGTCATACATAGCTGTATTTATTGCACCAATGCGGTGACAGCATCCATGCACTGGCACCGACGTACCTACTTAAATGGCGCAGAGAAATCAACGCCATTCATTTGTCATTGAAATCGCTGCAAAACGAAACATTTAGCGGGAATAATTCCCCTAGACCATTGAAAACGTATTTCTGACATGCTGATGATTATAGCCAAAACTAGACGGAGAAGCATATTATGATAGCTTAAGCTAGCTCTAACAGCTAGGCATTATGGGTCTCCTGAGTACTAACGTGATTTACGATCGCAATCCAGCAATCTAAAAACAAATGCAACCATCTTCACATACACCAATCCATGTTCAGTGTTCACGCCACACGTTTCCACCTGACCACACCCTTCTCATCTTATACACTAGTTTATCACAGCACGTTGAAAACGTTCCCAAACGCCACAGCACCACTAGTCCGCGGTCTATGCGGCTCCGAGCTGCGTCTGTCACTAGTCACCGCTACACTCCCGCAATGTACGCCGGCGTCTGGTACATCTCATACGCGAAGTCCTCTCCGTGTCGCGGATCCATCTCCAGACCGATGTAGTCAATCTCCAGCTGAAAGGGTCCGCTCACACCACCCGCCGTGATACCCACGCTCGTAATGCGATCCTGTGTTAGCGGAGACTGCTTGTCCTGGATCCGACCCTTGCTCGTCAGGAAGAACTTCGAGAACGGGATCTGTAGACAAGGAAAAGGGTCCCAATGAGGTCGAAGAGACTAAATAGGTGTGTGCGATGTGATGATAGTTATTTGATGCGTTATCATGCAAGTTGCAGAGCATACATTTTAGTCTCATGTTGTTAGTTGCATTCAGGACAGATATAAAGGAGGCGAAAGATGCATGGTCGGATGAGAGAAACAGGATGGTGGTAAAATCAATGAGGCAAGTAATTAGGTTAAACGCTATGATATAAAAGGCTATCACAAAAAAAAGTTTTATCTCAATTCTGGATTATCAAAAACGCAAAAATAAACGTTAATTTGAGGTCTGATCCGACGACTTTACAAATATCGCAGATAGTCTATCATAGTCATGATTATGAACTAGTGTAAACTTCCGTAAAACTATACAAGGTAACTTCATAAGTATCAGCAAGGGCAGAAATTGGGAGACAATTTTTTTAGATGCGAAAATCTTCCCATATCTTTCTAGTATAAAAAAACAAGAATCGCGGAAACGCTGGACGCTGGTACATACCCGGGTCACCTGCCAGTAGGGTCCGCCGCGGGTATAGAGCGGGTAGCTGAAGATGTCGTTCCACATGATGTCAAAGTAGCCCATGGCGGCCAGATTGAGCATGTAGGAGCGCCCGTCGCCGCGCACTCGGAGCACCACATGCGTGTACTGGGACCAGTCGAAGAAACTGTCGCGTTTAAACGACTTCTGCAAACGCCAAATGGTGTGGAACGTCGGTCACCGACGAAAAAACGGGCTAAGAAATTATTGCGAGATGGTCAGCTTAGCATCAAGTATCCCTTTTTCAGGGAAGGTATAGGTAGTCGGAATGCTCAAATGTCAGTATCACACTGCCTATCACACTGATAAAGGCATTTGAGCTGCCTTTATCATCTATAAATGATAAAGGCAGCTCATATGGTCGTGGTAAGCACCAATTAGTGATTAATCGCTGGATCAGCAATAACGTGTGAGCGGTGATCTTAAAAGTATTTCATATTGACCGTAGCATCGCTTGACCAGGTATAAGTGATGCATCACTGCCGTATCTTCTGATAGCATAGTGCAGGACTTTTAGCCTTGAAAACACGCTGAATCTACTTTTGTATTTCGAGCGTTTCCCAACTCTGTTTGACCTGCATCAACACTCAGCAGCCAGTTATAAGAATATCAACTGGAAATATCATTCGGACATGAGCCGATTTCAATGTATGATGAACTATGGATTGCTATACATATAGCCATCGATTACTTGAAATATACGGTACAACGGAAATAAGGATGAAAATATTTCAAACCGCACCTAGATAGCAAGCATAAAATGTATGCCACCAGTCCATCTCTTGGTCTGCTATTTGCCTCTTACGCTAGCGACCTCTGCCGCTGGCGCCCGGGCGGCACAGACACTGGCGGCCTCTGTAGGGCACGGCGATGGGTCGCGGGCCGCAGTCGGCAGGTGGCCGGTCAGAGTACTCATGAGTTCGGCTTCGGGAGTGGATGAAGGACCACTCAGCGTAAACGGGGCTGGGTATGCTATCCAGTGACCCTGTGACTTGCCCCAGACCACTCAGCGACTGTGTGTTCTGCCCCACACCGTCCAGTGGCCCTGTGTCCTTACCCAGACCACTCAGTGACACTGTGACCACCCCCACGTCGCCCTGTGGCGCTACATCCTGCCCCAGACCGTCTTGTGACCCTCCGCCCATTCCCACACATCCCAGTGACGCCATGACCTTCCCCAGCGGACTGACCTGCGGTCGGAGGCAGCGCATGTTGCAGTAGCCTGTGCGCTGTTTGGAGCCGTCTCTGGGCACCGTCGTGTCGAGCGTGCCGCGCAGCACGGCCTTGCCGTTCCTGCCGAGCACCAGCTCGCCCCAGCTGTTGCCCTCGTCATTGTCTCGGTCGGAGGTGACCACCCAGTCGCGCAGCGCCGCCTCGCTAGTCAGCTGGAAAGCCATGTCCACCTCGCCTGCCAGACAGGAACAGGCAGTGTGACAGGTAGAAAAGACACATGGAGACTAGAGTTTTAATTAATGGTGCTGCTGATGTGAAAAATAGTGTGCATACATGATACAAAATACTGACACAAATAAAATGAACATTCCTGGTTTGAGAACACCTTAAGGCACTGTCCAGTGTCCTGCAGAAAACAGCATACTAGCATGCCTACCTTTATTTGCAACACTTTGTAATTTGAAACATAAAATTCAATGCAGCATATCTTTTAAGATAGCAGTGTCTGATCACAGCTATGCTCAGATAATCATTACCTTACCTGGCCTGACAAGGTACAGTGGTTCCTTGGTGAAAGTATCCCACACCTCATCCTTCCATAAGCGTACTTCTTTCTTTAGTTCAGTGAAACCTTCGATGATTTGCTTCTTGTCTGGCAGCACTGGCCTATCCTTCTTGTATTCAGCACGGATGTCTCTCTCCCAAAACTTGCTTAGGGGTTCCGTTGTACTCAAGGGCCTGGCATTTGGCAGCTGCAGCAATGAGCTCAGATGGCCATTCAGTCTTAGCTGTCTAATGGATATCAGGCCCAGACTCCCCATTGCTGCAGTCTATGGCCTTTACACCAAACAATCAGGAATTTATTATTTGCCCTGAAACCAAGCAAAAAAAAAAAAAGAAATCGATCAGTAAATAAATTTGCATTAACATCCCTAACATCACCTGTAAAATGCTTACAAAATCATAACAAATGCATTGCAAGATTGATAGGTAACTAAAATGATGCTCAAGCTTAAATCTCACTCTTCATGGACAATGGACATCAACATGGTCCGGCGTAAAATTAGTAAAGGAAGTAGGTAAATCAATATAGCACCTATTCTGACTCTCATCACTCAAAACACACCATTGAAATGTTATAATGTCATTGGCATTGCTACAATATTAAATGATACTTATGCACCACTTTTAACATGGGGGTTTGAACTGAAATCCTTTTAAGACTTTGGAGTATAACTTGTTAGGAATTCCTATCACAGCCATGAGACAGTATTACAATTTTCAATATTTCTTTTAAACTAATCTACGAAATATCATAATCTGAGCAAAAAAAAAATGCCTTAAAAATTTGCCTGAATTCTTAGCTTGAAAAATCTGAGAAGTATTTTTAGTTGTCAGCAAAGTGAAACCAAAACAGAAGGAGCCTATTCATAGGTTATGGATGGGTCGGGTTTATATAGCCTTGGCGGGTCGCACACTTTGCAACCAGTGACCAGTTAATAACAGTAAGCATTCAACACAAACTCCCCAAATTACCTTTAGATATTCATATGACAATGACATGAGTTAGATATGACATATTGATATTGATATCTCCATCATGATATGAGTGTGCTTGGCATAGGGCAATGGCCAATGAAAATGAAAATGGCCTCGAGTTCATGCAAGGCTGAGGTGTTGCCATCAACAGGATCTAACAACTATTATACGTTATACGCACTGGGCACAAACATAAATGAATTTAAGAACATTTGTTCTGAAATTAAATATAACCTCGCGGTCTAGGCTATTCCCATTCTATTTTCCCACGGTATATAGAGAACTTATTTTCCAATTCAAGTTCCTCAACGCCATATCACCAATAACAATTTTTCGGCGCCACAATCGAAACAAGCGCGCCACGTAGGCTCTGTACGAGTGCAGCCATATTATGGAATAGTAGAAAACCGAGTCTAGTATCTTTTCTGGCTGTTTTTTAACCCTCGCCGGCACTCCTTCGACGGCACAAGGGGGGGGGGGTTGGTACGACCCCCTCGCGTTTAGCCCCTGATCGAGCTAGAGCTTCGCAGAAAAAACGAGCGTGTTGCCCTTCACGAGAGGAAGCCGATGATATCCAATTTTAAGGTCCTAGGTCATCGGGTGACCTTCCAGGTCAGGTCAATGACCCGAAAATCGGGAAAATCGGGACCTGTTAGAAAGTCGTAAAGTGTGGCTGCTAAAAGGTTTTCCGGGGTGCTGATCACGAATATCGTGTTAGGTTTGATCAGAGACGATGTCTGTACCTAAGCATTTAGACCAGGACGGGTCAGGTCAGGTCAGGTCAACCGGTAAGGGTCGTGACGGGTATTCGTAATGCGTGTCAACCGCCTCTGACAGCTTCGCAGCATGTTAAGAAGGCACCAAAACTACTTCTACTACGTAAATGTTCAAATGGTTGCTAAATTCGAATTCAGCTCCAAAAACTAGCCTAGAAACATGGAAAACTCGAAAAAGTGAACCGAGGTAACCAAAGGTCAATGACCTGACCTGACCTTCAGGTGACCTTGATATCCACCCTTATGCATGGGAGCAACATCAAATCACATGTTTGAACGTGTGAAACCACGAAAAGCTTGCAAACGCGCGGCTAATGCGAGCCGACATACCTACGCCGAATTGCGATTCCGGCCAAGCATGGTCTCGGAAAGTACCTAGGTCACAGGTCAAAGGTCATTTGGGTTAGGGTCATGAAATTTTTAGGGTAGGTGTAAAATTAATCAATGCGAGGGTACTGAAAGTTTCGTCACGACAGGCCGCTTTTTACGCGAGTTATTCGCGAAAAAAACTTAGGGGGTTGCTTCACCCCCCCCCCCCTGTGCCGGCGAGGGTTAATTTTGCCGTACAGTAATTTTGCGATAATTGTGCCATGCAGCAGCGGCGGAACACCTTTAATTAACCCGCGCCCCGCTGGGCTATTCAGCCATACGCGCCCTGCTGGGGGGGGGGGGGGCAGATTAATCTGCCCCCCCCCTGTCTAACTTCCGAACCGATGGTCGTAGAAAGACGGGGAAAACGGCAATCGAAAGCTCTCAACAAGGCGGATCTTAAGAACCTATTTTTTTTTGCTTAAGTAGGTCAGAGGTCAGGTCAAGGTCAGGTCAAGGGTACAAAATGCAAGTTTCTAGTTCTACAGTATCGGCCTTGCACCGTAGTTGCCGAAGAATGGACTGCGACTAATTGCCTAAAACGTGTTCTTAGCCTACCAAGACAATATTCGTTGCATACAATGTCATTCAAAGGTCAAGGTCAAGGTCAGGTCAGGTCAGGTCAGGTCACCAAAAACAAAATATGGAAAAGGGCATATGCGACACATGTTTTATGGGTCATTTTACTCATAGAATTCAATAGGCACACTCAATAGGTGATATGGACCACCTCTGGATGAAATTCAGGTCGAGGTCAGGTCAAGGTCAGGTCAAGTGAGGTCAAATTTTGAAGTTGGTTGTTAAGGCCTAAAAAGGTATCTATCTGATGCAGTTTTTCACGGCGAATCGAATGGTGCTATTTTTGTTTCGGTACGAGTTCTAAAACTTCCAAAAATCATTTTTCAAAATTTTTGTGTGTCGTGACGTCATAAAATTTTGAATAACTCCCGCATTTTTTAGCCGATTCTTCTAAAAATTGGTATGTAGGTGCACATAGACCACCTCTCTGACAAATATTCCGGTTTTTGCGATACACTCAAAATTTTGGATTTTATAATTATTTTCCCAAAAAAGTCAGTTTTTGAAGAAAAAAAGGGCCAAAATCCAAAATTTTCAATAAACCGAGATGGCCATTTGATAGACAAAGTAGAATCGCGTATAACCTTTTTTGTTACGTCTTGATTCCTTTCAAATGAAGATGTTAGCGGCGTTTGAAATTTTGCCGTTTTTTTAAGCGAAAATGGCGAACATGACGTCACTAAAACGTCAATTTCTCAAAAATGTTCCGACGGATGTCGCTCAAATTTTCACGGAACGTGTCAAATTGATGTATGATAAGGTACTGAATGTTTGACGTCGCTGGCGTAACACGTTTAGAAGTTATTGGCGAAAAACGGGAGGGGGGCAGATTCTGCCCCCCAGTGCCACTGTGGGGTTTTTATCGATCCTAGCACGAATTTATTTATATCGCATCCTCCGCTACCTTAACTAATTTTATTTCACCTTCAAATGGTTAGGCTTAGGGTGTATGATCCCTGACAACATGGTTGGCTCTCCTGCTTGACCCCATCCCTCCCCCGCCCCCTCCCCACGGACTTAGCACTGAAGCGTTTTCGGCTAGCAATGCATCGTGGGCGTGGAAACGTTAAAAAGCAGAACGATGATTATGAGCATATTTAATTGACCGAATCCTCAATGTAATCTGAATAAAATGACAAATAGCAAAAATTCGGGTATATTCGATCACAGATCTTTGTCAACCGATACCAGCAGGCGCCACAATTGTAGATGTCAAAATACTTTTTGTTCAGTACACATGCACAACAGTAGATATGTCCTCAGGGAAAAGATTTATGGTTGGTAATTGTAAAAGTCGCAGCAGTCAAACATAATATGTACAGGGAAAAACCTATACACAAGATTAAAGTGCGTGTGTGCCTAAGCATATACGAATTTAAGATGAAACAATACTTGCGGATCAATTAAATGGGCAGCAAGTTACACTCTTACCCTGGACAAAGTTAGGGCACATATAACATTTACACTGTGCGAAACAATTAAATGAGCATATTATACATAAATGAACATTATATACGTAAATGAGCATACATGAGCGTATTATGACTACTCATACCCTGGACAAAGTTAGGGCGCATACAGCATCTATGAAAACGATCTACACAATCACTTTTTAACGAGGTGAGCTCTTGAAAAATGCTAACCTACTTTGGAAGTAGCTGCCAGGAGGTGCTGTTATCGTTAATAGCTGGCATCCTATCGCGGATGGTGATGGATTCAGCAATCCTCCTGTCAGCTTCATCCTTACATTTGTCATCCTACACAAGCTTACATTTGTCATCCTACACAAGCTGACAGGAGGATTGCTGAATCCATCACCATCCGCGATAGGATGCCAGCTATTAACGATAACAGCACCTCCTGGCAGCTACTTCCAAAGTAGGTTAGCATTTTTCAAGAGCTCACCTCGTTAAAAAGTGATTGTGTAGATCGTTTTCATAGATGCTGTATGCGCCCTAACTTTGTCCAGGGTATGAGTAGTCATAATACGCTCATGTATGCTCATTTACGTATATAATGTTCATTTATGTATAATATGCTCATTTAATTGTTTCGCACAGTGTAAATGTTATATGTGCCCTAACTTTGTCCAGGGTAAGAGTGTAACTTGCTGCCCATTTAATTGATCCGCAAGTATTGTTTCATCTTAAATTCGTATATGCTTAGGCACACACGCACTTTAATCTTGTGTATAGGTTTTTCCCTGTACATATTATGTTTGACTGCTGCGACTTTTACAATTACCAACCATAAATCTTTTCCCTGAGGACATATCTACTGTTGTGCATGTGTACTGAACAAAAAGTATTTTGACATCTACAATTGTGGCGCCTGCTGGTATCGGTTGACAAAGATCTGTGATCGAATATACCCGAATTTTTGCTATTTGTCATTTTATTCAGATTACATTGAGGATTCGGTCAATTAAATATGCTCATAATCATCACGATGATTTTCCTCACTACGCTAAACTCTCTTAAAAAAGCAGAACGAAACTACAATCGTTTTAGAAGTAGATATTTGTTCATGTCTAGCCCAATCACCAAAAGGCATTTCGGGCTTAACCTTTGCACTTTGTTCGTCCTTGCACTTAAAGGGGGAGGGGGTCGCACAGACTTCTGTCCTCGACTTTTCGCATACTAACTCAAGCAAAACGTGGCGGATCACGACGAAACCTTCTATACCTTCGATTCGATCAATGTTACTCACACACTTAAAATTTCATGACCTTGACCTTAATAAAAAATTGACCTGTGACCTGTTTCACCAGACCATGTCAGGCTGGTATCGATTTGGCGCTTATCAGCGCACATTATCGGCGCGTTTTCAGTCTTGTTGTGGTTGTTAACTCTCCAAGGTATGAAATGCTGTTTGTTCTTTGCATTTTAAGGTCACGTTAAGGTCAAATCAAGGTCATTTACCTTAGATGACCTTAGTTGACTTTTTCAAGCTCTACGATTTTTCTAGATAAGTGCTTGGAGCTTATTTCGAACTTAACACCCATTTGAAGATTAAAGTAGTTTTGGTGCCTAACGGAACATGCTACGAAGCCGTCAAAGGTAATCGACGCCTACCTTCTAAGCCGGCAAGACACCTACTGGTCGGGCCTGACCTGACCCGGCCGGCGGCCTAGCATGAAAACATCATCCTCGATCAAAACTAGCTTGAAATTCATGATTAGCACCCCAAAAACCTCCAACCTCACTTTACAAAGTTACAACATTTTTCGATTTACCTATATCAAAGCTCTGTACTGAAGTTCAATAAGGTGAACATTGGCGGCGATAGCCAATAAAATGGACGCAGCGTTGCAAGGTGTTGTTGTTTTGTTCAAAAAGAACATTTGGCGATAGAAAAATAATGTCAACATGGTATCACCCCCCTTCCTCCCTCCTCCCAACTCCCATACTGACCTGAAACCCCCAGGCGGTGTGCTGCGGTCGGGTAACCCGCCGCGGCGCGGCCCGGCGGGGCGTAAGAAACCACGCGGCACCGTCTGCTTTGACGTCTCATAGTGACTGGTTTAGGCAAATTTCGGCAAAAA